TCTGTCCCTGCCTTAGTCAATGTGCCCATCTGTCCCTGCCTTAGTCAATGTGCCCGGGAAGATCTGCTCTGATATGGGTGTGACCAGGATCTCAGTGAAGGTGTGTGTGTGGCAAAAACCTTGTCCAAGGTGATGAGGAAAACCATTTATCATGGAGCTTTCTTTTAAAAAAAAAGATTTATTTTATTACTTATTTAGTTATTGGTTTTCTGAGACAGGGTTTCTCTGTGTAATGGCCCTAGCTGCCCTGGAACCAGCTCTTGTAGACCAGGCTGGCCTCAAACTCACAGAGATCCCCACGTCTCTGCCTCCCAAGTGCTGGGAGTAAAGGCGTACACCGCCACTGCCTGGCTATTTTAATTCTTTGTGTGGCAGCGTATTCCTACATGTATGTTTGTGCATCTCTTGTAGCCAGAAGATGTCATGAGCGCCCTGGATTATAGGTGGTTGTGAGCCATTGTGTGGGTGCTGAGAATCAAACCCAGGTCTTTAGTGCCTTTTGCCATGGAGCCGTCTCCTCAGACCTGACTTCCCCATTTCTTAAGATACTTACATGTGCTAATTTCACAGGAATTCTGCATATTTTTAAAAAATATGCACCTGGGTCTGGAGAGATGGCTCAGTGGTTAAGGGCACTGGCTACTCTTCCTAAAGACCCAGGTTCACTTCCCATCACCCACATGGCAGCTCACAACTGTCTGTAACTCCAGGGGCTCTGAAACCTTCATACCAATGCACATAAAATAAAGTTAAATAACTTTTACAAATTTAGAAAAAGATATGCATCTATGTGAACAGTTCATGGATAGCTCTGAGAGCACAGGTTAACCTGGAATTCACTATATAACCCAGTCTGGACTCAAATCATGAACGTCCTGCACCCAGCTTCAGAATGCTAGGATTTGATTCTCTCTGTAAGCAATTTGTGTGAAGAAGCCAAGCATACAATTGCCTTCATTTAGAAACCTTTTATCAAAAATCCAGTCATTTGTCTCTGAGTGGAAATGCCATCAGCAAGTGCTGCTTCTTTGCTTTTTGTTTTGTTTTTTTGAGACAGGGTTTACTTGTGTAGTCCCGGCTCTCCTGCACTCATTTTACAGACCAGGCTGTCCTTGAACTCAGAGATTCTCCTGTCTCTGCCTCCCGAGTGCTGGGGTTAAAGGTGTGCCCGGCTGGATTCTTTTAGTAAACCATTTAATATTCTAACACACAATGGGCCTGGGCAGGGTAGCCACCAGAAATCTGGGGTCCAGCTACTGCTAGAGGAAGAGGTGTTAGCGCCTGGTGTCACCTTCATGGGCTCCTCCAACCATTCAATGTCCACAGGACACCCCACCTCCACCACTATGTGGTTCTATTTCTGCCCTCACAAGAGGCTATGGCATCAAAGACCAAGGTCAAGGGCCCCCGCAGATCAGACCTCTTCCCCTAGAGACACTCTCAGGTTGGCTAAGACTCGAGATCCGCGGATGGTCTAGTGAGGGTCACACCGAGGAGGTGATGATCACACGGAGGGGAGGAGCCTCTCTCCTCCTCACCTGCACTGTGTACTCAGTGCCTGCGCCTGCAGCAGGGCCTGTCCTCCACTGTCCCCTGGATGGTGTGCGGAGCGCTGCCCATGCTGGCATGTTGGTATCTGGATGGTCCGTGGTGGCTTTTATGGGCCTAGATGAGAAACAGTTCACAACCGGTTTCCCCAACTGCCTTTTCAGATTATCAACTCTGGCTCCAGGCCCTGTGTGGTCTCAACCAGCGAGAACTTTACTAACCAGTAATCCTGTGCCAGGGTGGCAGCTGCCCAACCCTCAGATAACAAACCCATTTTCCTCTCCTGAGTCTGTCTTTGCCTCAGCCCGTGTTGTTTCTTTTTACCGTGACTGTGATCAGTTCCTCTATAGAAGTCACTGCTTACCAGGTTCTACTATCAGATGCATGCAGATCATATATTCCCATCACCAGAAACCTTCCCAAAGTGAGGGTCCACCATCGCCAATCCTGCAGATGGAACACTGAGCCCCTAAAACATAAATAGATTCCCCCTATATACACAGATTTCTGTAAGTGTCAGGGGCTGTGGTGTGGCTCAGTGGAAATGTAAGACTTTAAGACAATTCTGAAGCCATTTCTGACAATTCCGAACCCTCTCAGCCTCCGTGCCTTAGTGCTTCCCCTCCTCCCCTGGGAGCCAAGGACCTAACAGCTACACATGCACATGTGTTCTCCAGAAATTGGGGCAAGATAACCTTTCAGACATTGACTCAGTTTCTGAACAATTACCCATACACATATGTTTTGATTCAGTCCCCTGGGAAACGGGGTCAAAATGACCTCTTACCTCATCTGATCTGACAATAGCTCTCCAGTCAATTATTGGTATTAGCCCTTTTCGAATAAGCCAATCATAATGGTCAAAGAACAACCCCTCTTATTTCTATGGGGCCTTCTCCTTTAAAAGTAGACTGTACCAGCTATTCGAGGTCTCTCGGCTTCCCGAATGCTGGGGGACCCTGTCATGACAGAATTAATAAAATCCTCATGCTTTTGCATCGACTGTGGTATGTGAGGTGGTCTCTGGGGGTGACTCCTTCTTGGTGTTTGGACGTAGGGTTCAACAGAAGAGCACCTGGCTAAAGTCCCCCAGTGAGGGGCTGGGGCATGGCTCGGGGTAGAGCCCCTGCCTAGAATCCCCCAGTGAGGACTGGGGTGTGGCTC